TCGTTATGGCTAGATTATATGTATAAAGTTGATAACATTATGTATTCGTAAACCTGTCTAGAGACTTTCTCTGTTTACTTCACCGTGCTTCCAGCCAGTAATAATATTTTGAAACAATACATTTTTTCTGTGAATTAAAGTTAAAATGCAGGTCGAGCAAAAATAAGAAGGAAAAAAGACCGCAATCATTTGTTGAATTACATAACATGATAATTTTCGTCCGATATTCCGTCATACATAGCGTATTTTTTATAAATATACTTTTTCTTGAAAATAAGATCTCACAGATTTAAAATTAATTCATGTTTAATTATGACATTTATTATCTGAACAATGCCAGTTAAACTTTAATTACAACATAATTATGTTACTGCATTTAGTTAAAATTTCCAGTCAAACTGATCCTTTTTTCCACAGATGCATTTTAAAATGAAAAATTAGTGGATCCGGGTGCGTATAGACTTATATATAATATTTTAAATATGTTTTATTCGTGAAGTTAAAACTGTGAATGAGTGAAGTTAAAATCGTGAATTCGTGAAATTAAAAGCGAGAAGGCGTGAAGTTGGAAATCATAAATTCGTGAATTCTGTATGTTGAAATCATGAAGTTAAAATTGTGAATTCGTGAAGATAAACCCGACAAATTTTCTAAAAGAATATGAGAGAGATAGGTATTCTCCTGAATCAATTGCATTACTTAGAAGTTTAATGAAATGTATTGATGGGTGAACCTAATCTATAGATTTCAAGGCAAAGAAAGAATATGTCTCATGCAAATATCATCACAACCGTTCTTTCGCAATCGTATTAACGTAAACGAGTACTCTATCGCTTCATCAGATCTTTAAGTATTGCAAACATTCATTTTTGTTTATGATATCAAGCGTGTTTAAGAAGCTTTCCTCACCTATTCAGGACAAACAAGTGATAAATTTCATAAAGAACGGTAGCATTTAAATCTCCTATCAAAAATAATACGATTTTATCCAGTTCCGTGACATTACGAAGATAACGTAATTGCATTAAGATTATTTGAATTAAGGTTCCCCCACATTAAGATAAAAAACGCATTAAGTTGTACACGTCTGATGTGGAATTTTGATTTAAGCATTTTTTCGGGAATAAACAATTCGCTCATGGAATTCTTCTGTTTGTAAATAAAACAATGAAAAAATACTTAACTGCTATTACCATTTACATTTTCTGTATCAGTTTTATAGATCCGTCCCTTTGTACATTATACCATTATACCATATTTGCATATAAATACTTCTTTGATTATTTAATTTCTAGCTTAACATCTCTTATCTCGATGAAAACTATATTCTCCATTTTTCTGCGTATACTGTATTTTTCACATAAACTTGTATTAAACCAGTCTTAAAATTTGTTAAAGAAAGACATAGAGATATAATGTAATACCTAAAGAACGCACAAAACGGCATAATTAAAAACGTTGCTGGCTTTGTTTGATTGAGCCAGTTCATGGACGGTAGTGGCAATTACCTGTCACCGTCCATGCCCCTAGAGCACCGGCTTAAGCTGAATTCATCAACGAAAGATGAAAAGGGTGATTTTTTAAATTATAAACTTCCTCAGGTGGGTTCAAACGGTGGTAATCATGTGAAATCTTCAATGTAACTCGTTCGTACTACATGTATTTCATGAAAAGCGGAGTATGATCTCCAATACAGAAAGCGTGTGCCCTTTACGACAAAACAAGAGGCGGAACTAAATAAAAAGAATTTTGAGAGTGGAAAAAGCCTGCATAAGACATTAAGACATACAACACGTCAGAAGACACAGTAAAAACATCAGGCAACATATCCCTAGGGTGAATGTACGGTATTCTAGACCGCAAAACGAGAAAAAGATAAATAAGAAAGGGCTAAAGATACTCAAACAGCACAACGAAACCTTGGCAAGCTTTATAAAATATTTAAGGCGCTATTGAGGTTAGTCTACTTGAAACGTCAACTTATGTAAGAGATGGCGCAAAATCGTCTTATTCTCTCAAGATTATTTTTTTTATCAAATAATATCCAATAATGCCCGACAACAAGACAAAAGTTATGACACGTAAAATAATGGACCTCATGTTACACTCGACTCATTTGTACTTTAGACTCTCAAAATAAACACACTTCTTTCGTCAGTGACCTGAATGTATTTAACCGAAGAAAATGCGCGACCTGTCAGCGTCTGGTCATTTTAACGTACAATTCAGTTTATTTGACGCAAATGAGCATCTACCACGTCAGTAAAAGCATTCTCCGACCATGTTTTTGTATTTTGTTTTTTAGCGACATTTTTATTTATTATAATTTGTAGGTATAATTTAGTATGTTAGTAAACATGACGAATAAAATCATTCTAGTATTGCATGATCCTTTAAGGAACTATTCGTAACGCATGTTTTAGCGCTTTATTTAACAAGTACATATAAGTATGTATTAATCACATAAAAATTCAAATGTGAAAAATTAAATTACATATACACTAAAATCAGATCGCACGAATAACGTGTATTTTATCTAGTGCTAAAAACTTGGCCAGTTTTCATTTGGAGTGACATACAGTGAGTGATATATAATAAGTATTATAAAGTGAGTGATAAAAATAGTTATAAAGATAGTGACTTCAGTGAGTGATTTAGGAGTTAAATACAGTAGTGTGTGACTTACAGTGAGAGATATAAAGTGAGTGATTTACAAAAAATAAAAGAACGTGGTATATATGAACGATTTCTAGTGAGTGATAAACAGTAAGTGATATACTAAGATTAATGTAAACAATATCTGGCCTGTAAAGCTCATATCTCGTCGATAAGAATAAAATAAAACCGATCGATCAGTTTATTGTCATAATTTAAAATTAATTGTTCAATTTTCATTGAACTTATTTTTAGAAGAAAAAAATATACTGTTCTATAATTCATTTTCCTATTAGCTACTGGAGTTATAAATTTATATTTAATATTAAATTATGTGCCAATTTCTGTCAACCAAAGTTTATCAAATACACAAAGATTATATTTCGACAAAAACGTTTTATTTGTTTTTCCTTTCACGTCCGATATTTTTTATTCAGATCGTAAAAATAAACGCACTTATGAATTAAACGATTTCATTTCGTTTTATTTATATTATATATTTACTCAAAGAAACTTAAACAGTTTTTAAATGGACTATTTATGTAAAATATGAACACTTGGCTTTAATTCATTTAACTTTTGATTTGCGTAAAGTTTTTTTTTTCCAATGATGATTTCAAAATAGTCATAAGTTTCTTTTTTATAAATATAAAATATAATATATTCTGAAATGTGAATATTTCATAATTTTAAGATTAATGTCTTGAAAAAATATCGTTAAAATTAAAATGCGATTTAATTTTTCCATAAACAAAATTGATAAACGATTATTTAATGTTTATTTCTACGTTAGAAAATATATTCAAAGACTAGTCCGTTAACTCCTTCGCTGAAATGCAAATAACATTGAGATGGGCGGTAAAATTCTAAATACTTACAATTATATAATTTATAAAGATGTGTGCCTCAAGATAAATGAAAAAAGGAAAAAATGAAGAAGAAGAAAAACAACAACAACATCATCAAAAAGAAAAGAAGACCCCCCCCCCCCAAAAAAAAAAACAACAAAAAAGCGTTTACAGATAATCATCATCATTATGGCGCTTGTCATATTTTATGATTTTATTATCTTTATCGTTATATTTTTCATGTTATTTACGGAGAAAGCTCAATTTTCTGATATTTTATAACATTTAAGTTATATTTCTGTAGAAATCAAGTACCTAATGATAGCTATAATCACTTCATGATATTTTAACTTAAAAAACAACGCTATCTTAATGTTGTTATTAATTTAGATAAGAATTGATTTTGAGGCGTGTTCTACGATAAGTATTCTTTTTTACTATTTGCTTAATAATGGGCATGTTTAAAGGACTTTATGTCATCAAAGTGTTAAAAGAGGGAGTGCAGTTTAAGTTTTAAATCAAATGTTTAATATCTTACATTATACGTAATAAAAATGAACTATAACCAAAGTTACACATTGACCTTTTTATCAATATCCTTTTAATTTTCCATGTACTATTCTAATGATAAAAATATGGGGCAGTATTTTTTCATATTTAAGACAGTTATTATATTTTATCGTTATCAATTACTTGACAATGACTATTATAATTATCATTTTTTTAATATATAGCTAATTCAGATGAACTCGACAGCGGAAAAAATGAGCACTTCAATGAAAGAAAACCTGAAATTTATATTGAATCACAAATCAAGTGCAACTTTTGCTTTGAATGTACAGAAAATGCTGAAATGCAAAAGCCAGTTGTCATAATTATATATCATCATAGAAACTCGTGTTTTTCTTATCATTTTATCTTATTAATAACAGAGCTTTTTAACAATTCTTAATATTTAATGAAATGGTTTTAATTACTTACATTGACACGTACATATTCTATAAAAGAGGATATTTTATATTTGATTGCACACGACTTTCAATTTCATTATCTAGATCGATAATATATAAAGCTATATAAATCTTTTGATGTTTTGATAAATTTCACATGTGTAAATAATTCGTGTATAAATATTCAAATTAAAAGGTATTCTTTTTACGGGTTAAGCTATTTTAAAACCATTTCTCTGATGTGAATTAGTACTTTTATAAAGCTGAACAAAAACCGTCCCCCTTTCAAAGTGAAATTGTTTAACACGCAGAAATATCAGGGAAGGAAAACGCATTAGACATAAAATATGATTAATGCAGTTTTATTTATCTTCAGCGATAAGTTACAGTTTTGATAAAGAAAGTACTTCATGAAGATACAAGAGTTCTGCGTGATTTATCTTTTAAATCAATCTCAAGTGTTGAGAAAGTATTTGTGAAGGCGTGATAGATGTCGGCCGTCTCAACCGAAAACCCAAATATATCGACTTTCATCCAAATTATGTTTACATCCGAAGATATGTCCATGACCTTTTCAAAAGTCGGATAAATCCAGTCTCTTTTAATCTCGATCGGGTAGGTTCCTAAATTAAATTGATACGTGCCGTGGCTAAAAGATTTGCTGAACAGTATCTTATCTGACGGATAAACCAGTATTGTCAGGGCTGTATATTGGATTAACGCGTGTATGATAACATTCGTTGATTTTTAAATTCGGATAAAAAGATTTACGACAGCTCGCATTCACACAGAGATATTCAATTTTATCATATTCAATAAAAGGTTTAAGGAAGAATATCTCCTGTAGAAGAATGTATAGCTTCTCTTTCCGCGGAGAAAGCTATGTTATCGAGAATTGGCATCTTTAAAAACAGCGCGCGATTTTCAGTTTTTGCGATGGAGTTCCCACAATTCTAGGTTAGAGAAGTGAGTGATTTTACTTTAGTTATTTTATATTAATGCGATACAGTGGAAGAGTTAAATGCAATTTATTCGTGGGGTAGTGATATTCATTAACGATATCTCTATGAATTCTAAATGAATTAAATATTATAACTTATAATTTTACCAACCTAAATTTCACTGGATTTAGAGATCGTAAGAAATATGTTTTACTGACAAAATATGTGACGATTAATACTTGCATTTTAATCAAGGGTGACATAATTTCTTTAATATGAAAACAACAAGGATAGAGTTATTTTCATAGTTTTGGAATAGGCATATCGTTAGAAGTATGTTTTGTTTACTAATACATGAGTGAGCTAGAGGTGATGATATCTGTAGGTTAACTGTGTTATAAATAATCTACTGCGCATTTTAATGTCAAAATGGATTACCGCACGAATAGCAAGGACGCGCTAGAAAAATTCGAGGAAATCGTGCAGGAAAACTCGTCGGAAAAGCTTTCAAATGTGTCTAATGATATTTGCGAAGATAACACTGAAGCAACTGATTTAGAAAATTGCGATTCTGAGCCTGCCACGGAACTTTTATTACCCAAAAATGGTGTTGAAGTAAATAGTGGACCAAATGTGCCACTTAAAAGTGAAAATTCTGACGGGGATGTGTTTCAAATAAATGACTTACCGACGATAGACAGCAATGGAGAAAAAGAAGGTCGTGAAACATGGGACAAGAAAATAGACTTCTTACTGTCAGTTATTGGGTTTGCAGTGGATCTTGGAAACGTTTGGAGATTTCCATACATTTGTTACAAGAATGGAGGAGGTATGTCTATTTGGAACAATTTAGAATTTTATCAGAAATCTTGAAAGACTAACATGCTTAAGATGTTGTTGTTTTTTCTGTGTCCAATGTTATCAAAGGGTACTTATGTTTTTTGTTTTCTTTACAATTTTACATAGTTTGTTTCTATATATCTTGGAATATCGTTCAATACGACATTATTGTTGTATTTAGTAAGTCCTTTTTATTCGCCTTTTTTACTTGGGTGGTTTCAGTATTCCTTACTGGAATACTGTATAACCCAACTAAGTATATGGGCCTGCTTTTTAAATTGGTCTTTTTTGCAGCTTATCTGTGTTATGCAGGCTTCACAACTTCTTATCCCCTTTCAAAATTCCAATTTATTTAGTTTCGGCCATTTTTGTCTTGTTAAGGGCACAAACAATATTTTACTGGGGGTCGTACGCCGCTTTTCATGAAATGGCACTAACGTGTCACATTTAAAGTCCACGAACAGGCTCAATAAAAAGGAGCCTGTAACATTTTCAATTTTCGCCTTTTTGGTATTCTATTTCTTTAGGGATTCTATTTCTTTCGGGATTCTAAGCATACATATGAATCAACAGATTCACTTTTTATCGAAACTCTAAAAGGTATTATACACAAATACTTGTAATAACTGTACTACTTCATAACAGAGTTAGAGAACATGAAAAGTTTTAAAGCTTCACTACTCTCTCCTAATAAAAAAGCACCTATTTTATAAATTTGTCTTGTCTCCTAATGCACTTAAAATAAATCAATGTAATAATTCAGTTCATTAAAAAGTGAGAGAATTAGGCGTTTTGCAACAAATAATTGAAAACATAAACAAGTTTGATACACTTACATGTAGTGCCAATAAAACTTATTATAACGTTCGATTTTAATATTTTTTTTGGACGCGTCATTCGTTTATTGAAATATTTCTAAACAGTCACTCTGTGGGCTTATCACCATCATAGATCTACCGATTTTATGATATATTTTTATAGCAAAAATCAAGGTGAAGTATACTTTGAAAAACACATAAATCAACGTTTGCTAGTCTTAAGTAATAATGAATATTTTATTATGAAAATCATATTTACATAATCTAACAATCAATCTTTGTATAATTTATTCGGATCAATTTGTTTACATTCGGGTCTATTTTAAGCGTTATTTCTTAGCGGATGATAATTTGGCTTTACTCTTTTTTTTATTCTATATCTCAAAGTACGCACCTAGTTGATGTCGTTTAAACGATTTACATAAATTAAAGACTTGTCACGACTGTACAAACGAAATTTTTATAAAAACAAAATATTAAAGAAAAATAAAACACATGTATTTATTGTATTTAATATGTATGCGCATATATTTGGGTGACTGTGCATACTGAAATGCATATATTATAACATATTGTTTAATAATGTTTTATGTCATTAAATATGGAACAGTATATATATTTGTTAAGCGGACATAATTTTTTAAAGAATCGCGCGCTTTAAACGCGCGATGAATTAGTTAAAGCCTTATTCTTTATTTTGAAAGGCTTTTACTATAACGGAAAGCAAAGTAAAGTCATTAGTTAGTACAATATGTATAAATAAACATATTAATTGATACACTATATATTTCATTTTATTTTGGTTCTTTTACCAGTTATTTCACGATTTAATAGCTGTCGAGTTGTCAACCATTTCCAAACCACAACACATCTACTATCGTCGGGAATTTTTACTTCCGTGCACTTTATCAAAAAGTCAAACAGGTTCATCACCGTGAAAATTTTACAAATTTTGCTGTGACAAATTTTGCTTTTAATATAGAAACGCTCGGCGGAGTATGGTCTTTAATAAAAGATGTAGGTTAAATGGCATCTATTATATAAAAAATGTTGTTGGGAAAAGTGTATATATGTTATATTTAAACGACTGAATGTAAACGATTGACCTAAAATGTCATATTTACAATTTACGTCACATCTTTACATTTCTTATAGGTTCCATACGTAAAAGCAGTCTTTTTAATCGTTTTAATAATAAGGTAATTTAGAAGTGGGCGAACTTTAAATATGCTTTGAAATTTAAATGGCTTTGATCGGTTATTGAATGAAAAAAATGTAAACATAATTCGATTAAAATACAGATAAGGTATGATAATTTGGCAATATAAATACGAGTACAATTTATCAGCTGAGCATACGTTACATTTTTTAAACTAGATATGGCCTAAGAACAATTACATTTTAGATGTAATACGAAAGAATGATATATTTTCATTATTTAATATTAACAATAAATAAAACTATCTTACACACAACTTATGCACGTTTGTTTCTTGTAAACGTTTATTGTAACGTAATTCTAGGCCATCGGCCCAAATACACAATACAATAGTAAAAAAGATGTAAATCTGGGTGTGTAACAAGTTATAATATAAAAAAAACCAGAAGCATATCCCATAATATTGAACAATGTACAACAAGCTTAGGGTAGAGAATAATACATAGTACATAGTCAATAATGTACCATAGCATAGCTTCAAGTCCTATGCAAGTTAATTTCCATTAATTTTTGTAAACTTTTTAATCAAAATAGGCTTAACCGCATATACTCCTGGCAAAGGAAGTGGTCAGCGCTTCCCTCCTGAGTAGAGCCAGGCCAGCCTTCACATCCATGAAGTGCGACTTGGCTTTATACTGTTGGTAGGTCGGATTTTGAATAAGAATTCCTTAATATTAAAATGGACTGATCCAAAGTAATACTTGGGCAAATCCATTACACAAATTCAGTACGTTGCGGGTTACATCAATAGTGAGTAGTGACCACACTATGTCACTATGGCCTTTATATGCAGGTTTTGCCACACTATGTCACGGTGGTTTCTATATGAAAGTTTTGTCAGACTTTGTTACTGTGCTCTTTATATACTGGTTTAATAGTTAAACATTTACGTATTTTTCAAAACACATTCAATTTTATTATTTCTACACACGGTGGACATGTCTTACTATCATAATGCATCTATATATTTTTCATTTAATAGTGCAGTTTAAATCTTGTTTTCAAAAGAGCCGCCCAATAGCTAAAGATCCATTATAACATTTATTTATTGTAAATAATCAATCAATTATTAATAATAAGTACTTCTGTAAAATTAACGGATTCGTTTTTTTCTCTCTTCTAAAGCACGTTAATACATTTTGAGAAATGTATCCGTCTTATACGTAGATTGCCTATATTTAAATACCCGGTCGCTTATAATTTGTGTGAAAAGAACGATGGAAATTTAAACTCTTGGGTTTGTTGGTGTTGTTCTTTTTTTTTCTTTTTTTTTTTCTTTCTTTTTTTTTTTTTTTTTCTTTCTTTTCTTTCTTTTCTTTCTTTCTTTCTTTCTTTCATTCTTTCTTTCTTTCTTTCTTTCTTTCTTTCTTTTTTGTTAATATATATGCGAGAAAACCATATCCGTAATGTAAGTGTATATGTAAGAAATACGAATACATGACATCAGTCAAATATCGACGCACTTCAGCTCCATATAAAACCATACCATTATGTACTATAGATGTACGAGGGGTTATCCTAAAATTCGTGGACTTTCTTTGTTGATATTCTATCTAGCTAGCTTACGGAACGTCTTCCTCGTGACATATACTGTTTTGGTGCGACGTTAACCCAACCCCCCAAAAATATACATACATGTAAATATATAACATTAAGGCATTAGGCATATGACAGTTGAGTATGTTGGCTTATTTGCGTCATGTACATTTTTAATGTGGCAAGGGAAAAACACGACAGCTTTCATTAAACAGTTAATGAAATTCCTTATGAAAATAGCAGAATCTGCTACAATACAGTGTTAAATCTGAGACAGGTCATAAATTTTAACACAGAATAACTAGACATTATTTCATTTTTAATCAGACCAGTATAGTGCTTAATGTGTGATCTGACCATGATATATTATTACAAACATATTATACTGGGCATAATTTCAAGAACGGTGTTGTTTAAATCGGACGGTTGTCATCAGTGTTACATGATAAATGCCATCTTAAGGGGTGTATTACTGAGGTATGGTATGTCACTTTTACGAATACAAGTGATATAATCATTGTAAGCATATATAAAATACAAGAGTTTTCCTGTTAAAAGTACATTTTTCACGGAAATTAAAATATTTTTTGTTTACTCGAAATGCTATTGTAAGCATAAACAATTTTAGTGTACTTAAAGTTATACTTATTGTAAATATATTTATATGTAAATCAAAGACGGGATGTAAAGAAATATTTTTGAAAGATTTAATTCAATTATGTCGCATTGGATCTCCCTTTTATGTTGATGACACGCTTTTCCTACAAACACTTTTAAAATACTCTACATTTTCATTTGACATTAAAAAGGTGATTACGATTATTTGCTTTTTGGAAATACCTTTTCTTTCTAGCTGCACAGCAATGTAAATAAGTAACAAAAATGTATCTGATACCCTAGGTGTTTTAAGTTAATGCATTTTGTGACCGTATTAATGTACTTTATGACCTATAAACGAGATAGTCATTTAAGTGAATATGTTAGGAACACTTTTTTGACTTTCATAATCTTTTTAAGGGGTATTCTGTTACACGTTTATTCTTTTATAAGAAATGTATATACAATAATTGATTATATGTTTACTTTCACTTGTAAGTTGACTAGAGCGCGTTTTCTTTCACCTGTTTACCGATTAGTAAGCGCAAATGACAGAAATAGTTGTGCATTGGTTTGGAACTACTTTTTTGTTCCGCATGTCAGAAAAAGTAGATCGCGTCAAGATTGCCAAGAATCCTATCTGTGCAATGTGGAACTTCATACTATGTGAATTCCTTTGGTGCAATGATGACACCTCACTGTATTTGTATACAAATGATGACTCTTGTCTAAAACATGCAAACAGTAATGAGTATTATCCAACAACACTAACAAATCAAAGCACAGAAGGCGCTGAATTTGTTTGGGTCTCAGAATGTC